CACTAATTCTATCAATTTTAGTTGAAATAATTCTATCATAATCCATTTCTTTATTTTAAAAGAATGCTCTCGATATCGCAGATTGATACAAAATGAGACTCAAAAATCTGAATGCTACACTGAAGCCTATTTACATTTGTCAGTACCGACACGTTCAGTGCGGTCCGTGAAAATATCGTCGCCAACGATATCTGCGGTGCCGGTACGGACACGGACGGCACGGATACGGAATAGTGTAAATACTTACATTTAATCATATGGAATCGAATCTAGCATCCGTGCACGGACGTGTACGGTACGGACACGGTACGGATACGGTACGGATATGTATAAACGGACCTTTAAGCTAGATATGTCGCGGCGCGCGACGACCAGTTCGCGCAAATTCGCACCGCCGGGATACGATGTGCGCGCATTTATTAGTTGAGAGGTCTCATAAACCTCTCAGAAATTTTACATTTATAATGTTACAAAATACTACATTGCAGGAACATTTCAAGTGTAAGGTTTTAATCAAGATGGTTGCAGAAATATTGCAATTGCAATGTTTCCAAAAAGATGGTCTCAGAGACATTACAAATGTGATAATACACAATTGAGACGTTGAAACGTTTCTGCAACATAACTGAAACTTTCTGTGCTATCAGAGAAGACATTTTATTTAGTCAGAGAGACATGTTTTTTAGGCATTTTTTTGTCTTGTCGAAAAAATGATTAAAAAGATGACCAAAAAGGTACCCAGATAGCACATGTTTGTTTCACATATGTGTCCTAAACGTATCCAGTGGTTTCATATACGTTTAGGAAACATGTATGAAACGAACATGTGCCACCTGCAATGTCTTTCCGTCAACTAAAATTAATTATGATTTTTTGTGTAATTAGAAAGACATTCTTTAGACATCTTTTAATCTTGCCGAAAAGATAACTTAAAAAAGACATCTTTTTGTCATTGTTTAGTTTTATGCGCTGCGTTATTTTTAGTCAATACTGTCACGCTCGAATCACCTTGTGTATTATATACTTTATGTATAATTTTTATAGTTTTTGTATTATCGAAAAAAAAATAACATTTGGAATATATTATGATAATTCAAAGATGTATGTATTATAAAAAAGTCGATAAATATGGATACGTAAATTACGATACATAATGGGAGCCGTCGCGTAACACATTGCGAATTGAATATAAGATAAATTGATTGAATAACGAAGCTCATTTGTTAAGGTGGAAGCTTGTTAGCCGCTTACAGAAGGAGAAGTGATAATAAAAGTGTTCAT